AGTATAGAACAATAAAGTTGTATACATAAGCTTGTATTTAGATTTAGCTTTATTTTAATCCCATTGACATTAATGGCACCTATTTTGCTCATACACTGCTGCTTTGTAGATACCCTCACATTTATGCTTGTTAAAATAATGATACTAACTTAAGGCAATTTAAAGTCATCTAATTGTCACAGGCTTCTAGATGTCAATCAAGTGCTGAGGGCATGAGAAGGGCCTATTAATAATGGAAGCACTAACTAAATGTATAATGCAGGCTTTTCAGTTCATTACATGGAGTTTGTATACTTCTGGGAATCACTTTAATGAAGAGATGTTTTGTTATGAACAAAATACTATTGAAAGATTAGACAGATACTTTGCAATGACCTGGCATTAATGTCTTATGATAACATACATCAAATTTCTTAGGATAATTGAAAACAACTGTGTGAACACACACACACACAGAAAGCAACCTTGTGATTATTAGAGCAAATTGTCAGAAACTTCTTTCTAAGTTAAAAAAAAGTAATTGCTATTTATTTATTTATTACAATTGTCTAAGATGAGGAAGGACCATCCAAACCCATGGATCACATGTAGTCTCCATTATACTTCTTCCAGAATTACTCTAGATCAGGCATGTCAAACTGCCAGCCTGCGGGCCAGATGAGTCATGCCGAAACCACACCCACCCCATTGCCGGCAATGGAAAAAAAGTCACAATATGTTGCGACACGTTACAAGAAGTTGCGAGTTTGACACCCCTGACCTAGATATTCTACTAAAATGCACAGGGACTGCTGAAACCTAAAAAAGCGTTGTACTTATTTATGGCAAAAAACTAAATAAAATCTATTGAGACTTCAGATGGCTTTAGCAGAAGCAAAGTTGCCCTTTTAACTTGCAATGACATTATAAAGATGATACTACTCTTCAAAGAAGAACAAGAACTGCCTAACTAGAAAATATTCCCTTTTCCTATTCCAGATACTTAAAGATTATTACCATCCAAAATTCTCTTCCTTTCCAGCTTATTTCCACAATAATCATTTGGGAAATAATAAGGTGAGAGGTGGTGATAAATTCAAAGCCAGCCTCTGAGCTTTCTGGTTAACTGGAGATTTAAATTTTCCCTGACCTAATCCAGCATTAATCACTATACCATTTGAATGGTTTTCTTGCAATTGAAATGATCAAAATATTTTTCTCTTGTTTCCCTCTTATTTAACACCCCCAAATTGACCTCTATAGACATATGGAGACATTAGCACTCACAATGCTAATGGAGGCAAAATCTAATTTATTCAATCACACAATCTCTGGATTTTATCTGAGGACAGTGTAACTTTCCAGAGCAGCATAATGCAAACATAAATGAAAATAAAAACTGCATATGCATATCACCATTACAGTGATAATGGTGCTGCTTAGGGCAGATATGCCACATGTAACATTATGTCTCATTTGAAGTCCTGAAAACTATTCTTTTCCATGTACCAAATAGTATAAATGTGGCAATCTATTGGCAATTAACTGCTTCACAGAGGTTCCCTAATCAGGGAACTATATTTGGTCATATCTCTAGCCATTAAGAAAACATAGTTGCCCACTGTCAGAAACATGCAGCTTGTTTCCTCATTATGTCTGAACAGGCTTCTGAATCTGGAATGTGGAAAGTGCAATTTTGAAATATCAATATGTTTAACTTCAATTATATAGCTTATATAGCTTGTTAATTACAGTAGGAGAACCTTTTGTACTAAGAGCTTTGGGAAATCTAATCTTCATATTTCTGCCAGACTAAATCACTCATTTTAGCAAGGTAAATCAATGGGAGGAAAAACTTCTATAAGTACCATTGTCTGATGCATAAGATTTCAATGGTACCAGGAAGTGAATGAAGAAAAAAGGGTAGCCAAAGGATTAGGTTGGATATTAGTTGAAGATTTATTTATTTACCAAAACTATAATTAGGAAATGAACCTCTCTTACAATGGTAAAACTACAAATAAGAAAATGCTTCAAGGCATGGAAGTCTGCTTTAAAAAAAAAAAAGCAAGGGTGGATTAGAAGAATCAATAGCTATTTTCAACCTAATTTCCCACACTCTGAATTGGGGATTACCCATTAATTAGTTTGCACCAGTTCCTTTTGAATAGCTATCATTCAAATGTTGATTGAATGACATTTAACTAAAGTGCAAAGATTTGGAAAATAAGTGAAGGCCTATACTTGTGTGTAATTTTGTGAAGCAGCCAAGAGTCCAAATGAAAAGGAGTTCAAAATGTCTCTCCAATAGTTTACAAGGGAATAAGCCAAGATAAATATTTATTTCTTGATGTTATGGGAGCTTCAGCTAAATCAGGACACCATTAGGTTGCAAGATGGATAAAAGGAGCTGCAGATTATAAACCAATATTTACATGTGTAGTTTTCTTTAACCTGTAAACTGCAAATGTATTGAGACTACAGCTCTCAAAATTCTCACTGTGCTCCGTTCCATTTAAGAAATAAAATCTCAACCTATTTGGACACTGCTATATGTACAGCAGTTCCAGGCATCTAAATTCTCGATCTTGCTCTGCAATTTTTATTTGATAAAATAGAGAAGCCTATAATACATGGCTAGACATTTATTAACTAAAATTTATTTATTTGTTTGTTTTAAACTTGTATGTTTACTGGAGGAATTATATTTTTGTCCTAATACTGTGAATTCCATTCCAAATGTGACCCTAATACCAACCCTCCAAATTGCACATTTCAATGTACAGAGTATAAAAGTGAAATGGTACAAAGTAAAACAAAAGATTGTCTAGTTTGAACTATAGTAAACAATCCAACTATACTAGCACCAATTTGCCATTAAAATCTATTTTCATTACAAACTAAAGTATTCTGATTTTTTTTCTCAGAAAATAGAAAATTGGTCAATAGTTAAGTTGTCCCTTTATTATATAATATTGCTGGTTCAATAAGGGTGTATTCTGCATTGTACATTGTGTAAAGGTTTATTGCATTTTTTAAAAAAAAAATAGCAGGAAAATAAAAGCAGAGCCAATGCATTCCTTGCCTAATCTGAGTCTTTCTTGTTCCTTCTTAATCTTATTATGGATCAATGATCTAGAAATTGGTTCTTTATTCTTAGTACCTTTATTAAGAAACTAAGATACTGAAATGACTTTTATAAGGCTTTTATATTACTGTAATGAATTGTCATTAACTGTGACAGGTTCAGTCATTAGCAAACAGCTTCCAGATATTGGAAAACCATGTGACCATTATGCTATCTATATCTCTCCTCTCTTTCTCTCAGCATTACAATTTTTTTTCTACAGCAAAATACAGTAAAATGTTTGAATGAACTCCAGAAACATTTTATTTTACCTGTCTTTCTCTTCTTTTGTATGACAGATAAAATTCCATCTCTTTTGGAAAGACGTTCTATCACAAAAATCAATGCCTTTGATTTGGATGTTCAAAGCCAGCTTCTCTAAGTGCCCTCCAAATGTACCAGACTACAACTTCCAGAATATTAAGAACTGTAAACCCAACATCTGGAGGGGGAAGAAATCTGCTGAAGGGAGTATTCATTCACATGTGGTTTCCCACCCCATATTTTCTAATCCTTCAACTGATCTGGATTCCTGTTGCATAGCTGCACTGTCATGTGCCCAGGCTTCATCAATTTGATTAAGACTTTACATCATGTTATTTCATCACTCACTTATGTCTGGTGAATAATTTCTTCAGGAAAGTTTTACTTCCAGATGTACAAGTAACCATCCATCCCCATCAGTACAAAGGAAACATTTGTCCCTTGCCTGTCTTTTTTGCATCATTCACAGAAAACAATTAAAATTCCTTTCTTTCTTCTGTTAATTATTTTAAAATTAATTTGGCAAAGGTCTGTAAAATTTTAAGTGATTCAAATGTGTAATAATTTTCATTTAAGCCAATTTTAACCAATTTTTTTCTCATACTCGTTTCTCTGAATTTATCGAAGATGCTTTTTCTTTCTGTGTATTTCTTAAAAACAGTTTCTTGGTTCTGCGTGGAAAACTGGTGAGAAAAAAATCATAAATGATATGTATGCTTTCCTGAAAAATGAAAGTCAAATCACAATTTAACATTTATTGACTATTGTGATTTAGAATTATATATCACTGTATACCTGAAGGCACAAAAAAGAGGCAATGGATGGAAACTAATCAAGGAGAAATTTCTTGACAGAACATTTAATCAGTGGAAAGGCTTGCCATCATAAGTTGTGGTTGCTCCATCACTTTTAAGAAGAGATTGGACAACCACTTGTCTTAAATGACATAGAGTCTACTGTTTGAGCAGGGAGTTGGACTAGAACAGGGCTTTTCACTGATTGTCCAACTTTTAGGGTATGACAATATTCAAGTATCACAGTCGCCTAGCAAGGTATCAAAAACTTGATGACCAAAAAAAAAAAGGAAAAAAGTGATAAAGTATAGATAGTCCTCGACTTATAACAGTTTGCTTAGTGACTGTTCGAAGTTACAATGGCATTGAAAAAAGTGACTTATGGCCATTTTTCACACTTATGACTGTTGCAGCATTCCCAGGGTCATGTGATTTACATTTGGATGCTTGGCAATTAATTCATACTTATGATGGTCACAGTGTCCCAGGGTCAGGTGATCACCTTTTGCAACTTTTTGACAAGTGAAGTCAATGGTGGGGGGCATGGCCAGCTCGTCACTCAGGTCACAGGGCACCTGTGGGGGGTGTGGGCAGGGCTGTGGGGGGTTCCAGGGTCTCTGGTGGAGGGGGGTGGAGCTGGGGTAGGAGCTAGGGCATGGTCCACCAGAGGAGCCTCACCCTCCCTCTTGGACTATGCAGGGGACTCCCAGAGAGTGGCATGAGCTACCTGGAGCTTTGGGCAACGGAGGGCAAGCACCCAGCCCGACCCTCGAGCTCCTGGGGCACCCAACCCAGTCCAGCCCCTATTCTCTGAGGGGCTGCCTGGCTGTGCTTACCTCCTCTTCAAGGCTGCTGATGTGTCCATTTTCTTTCACCAGGTTGCTCATGGTGGCTGCAGGAGAGCAAAGTATTTGGATCAGAGGGAGGCCCATCCCTCCCCATGCGAAGAGACCCAGCTCAGGATAGGTCAGGAGAAGAAGGCAAGGGGATGGCGAAAGGGCAGCAGGGCTGCTGGTGGCAAAATGCTAATGCAGGATTTCCTTCAGATCTTGCCTCCCTCTCATTCCAATTTCCCTTGTTCCTTCCTTCCTTCCTTCCTTCCTTTCTTCCTTCCTTCCTTCCTTCTTTTCTTCCTTCCTTCCTTCCTCCCTTCATCCCTACCCTCCCTCTTATCCTGTCTCTCTGCTTCTCATTCCAATCTCCTTCCTTCCTTCCTTCCTTCCCTCCCTCCCTCGCTCCTTCATTCCCTCTCATTGTCCCATCCTGGGCGCTCTCTCCCTGTGCGGAGAGGCTGACCAGGCAAGGCAAAGCTGGCGAGAAGCCAAATCTGCTTGGATGTGTGCAGAAGAGGAAGAGAGCACATGGTGCCTGGCATCCTGGGTGAGAGGGAAGCACTCAGAATACGGGGCAAAACAGGCATCTGGGATGCCATGTGCTCACTACCTCCTCTGCACGCACCCCAGCAGGTTCAGCTTCTCGCCAGCTTCACCTTGCCTGGCCCAGCCTCTCTGCACAATAAAAAGAATGCACCACTACCTCCCAAATCTGAGCAGGCTGGGGTCTGGTCGGCATAGCACAGGTAACATGGACTCTCATGTCACTTGCAGCGTCCCCTCCCCAGAGTCATGGTTATGTGAAGTGGGCGAGGGCCATTTGCTAGTCTCCTTCAGGGGATTCTGCTTTTCTTCATTTCTCCCAGAGGAATGAACGACCCTTCCCCAGCTGCGTTTCTTGCCTGTTTATTGCTGCCACCTATGTGCACACCCAGCATGAAGTTGTAGGTTGGTTGCCGGCCAGCATTTTTTTTATCGTCTCCTCTCTCGCCCCTCCTCCTCCTTCTTTTCTCTTTGGTGCAACTTCACCTGACTCCTCTTCCCAAGGCTGCATCTTTTTTCTCTCTCCCTCTCCCACCCAAACTGCCTCGTTTTATATCCCTTCCTGGCTCCATCCTCCACGTCCTTTCTCTTCCAAGTGTGCTGGGAGTGGTGATCCTGGGGCCTTTGCCTCACCCCAGCCGCCCTGCAGCTCCTGAGGACTCTCTCACAGCAAGTCCTGCCCTGCACTGCTTTGGCTCATTACCTCCCCCGCTACAGTTGGCTAGGCTGGGCATGGCCGCATACCACCTGCCAGGTGCCAATGTATCAGCAGTGGTACATGCAGGGCTTTTTTTCTCATAGAACGCCCAGAACGGAGTTCCGGCATCTTTTTTGAATGGAACTTGTAGGGTAGGCCATATGGGTTGTTTGACATGTGTGAGTTCCGGCACCTTTTTTTTTTTTTTACAAAAAAAGTACTGCAAAAGAGTATGATTGAATTTACAGCCCAGTCCTATCTTTAACACTTAGATTCTTTTTCTAAGAAGATAGCAGCTTCTTTTCTATCAAGAGAGTCATTTCTTCAGGTTTTCTATATTTTCAGTGGAGCCAAAACAAGCAGTGGTGTAGCCAGAGAGAAAAGTGGATGTGGACATACTTTATATCTCTCATAGCCACACTTCTTATGTGACCAATCTGTTGTTTGTTTCTTTGTTTGTTTTCTTAATTCATCTCTTTCATTCTCCCCAATGGCAGGCTTTAAAGGAGGGCCAAATTAACAAAGGTCTGAGGTATCCTTTTATGACATTAGGCAGAAGGCTGTTCAGCTGCTATGATCTCACCAGGGCTGTCCACAAGGTGTTGTTTAAAAAGTCAACATGACAGCTGGGTCATAATTCTGCCCATTTTTTATGTATGTCATATATTTCTTTGTATATGTAATCTATGGATTTTTCAAGAAAAGATAGGTCGAATCTGGCCTTGGGCCCTAGCTTCTGCATACTGTGGGACTTATTTATTATTGCGTACCAATGAACAGCTTACAGTAATTTCAATGGAGCATACATCATTTTATATTCATTTTACAAAACAGGAAGCAGGAAGGAAAAGAAAAACATGTTTCTATACAGCACTCACAAAAATAATCGTTCTTACAGATTTTCATTTTACATCTACTGTATTCCACCCTTGGTTTACCTTTTTGGCAATTGTTACCAAAGGGGTAGTTTAGAACATCTGCAGACAATTTTTTTTAGGCACTAGTGATTTATAAAATTTTATTTCAAAGACATTGCCTACAAGATCTTGAGCTCTGTGGGACCACATGAATTTCCCCACAAAAATCCTTGGTTTCTTTCCAGAGTTTCTTTCATGAGTTCTCTTGTCTCAGGGATAAAGTGGTTTTGCTTCAGTTCTATCATTAGCCCAAACAATTCCTTTACAGTTTTATCATCTTCCATTACATTTTTAAAAATAGTTTTGAATTTAATTTTGAATTGCATTTGTGCTGTATTTGAGATTCAGCTTGTACATATACAGGCATATGACAACCTTTTGTTTATAATGTGAGCTAAGCTGAGCAAAGTGAGGGGATACCTGATAATACAGAACTAAGCTGTTCAAATTTCCTTGGCTTTGATTCAGATATTAGTGACCATCCAAATCTATTGTCAAATGAAATATGTATAAGGCACATTATTTTTTCAGGATAATATCTTATTTTTCTTGTGTAATTATTACACAAATCCAGCTGTGTTCAATGGATCACACTTCCATTTCCCATGAGTAGAATATCATATAACATCCCAGGGACATGATTTGCAGAGACAGTACTGTAAATCCTTCAGTATCTCTGAGTGTTCATAGAATTAAAACACAAAATAAGGTATGTGGAAGAGTAGGCCATTTTGGAAACCAGTATAATCAATTTCTAACAATATGTGAAAAGATTGTAATTAACAGTTAAAATTAATTTTTGTTATCTATTTAGACTGAATAGCCTGATGGTATACAGGCATTTTTAAAAGAAAAATATCAAGTATCCTTAACTAGGGCATCAACTACCTGGCCTTTGCAGGATTTAGAATATCTGTCATCTCCCAAACTTAAACTAAAATTTTAAAAATTATAAACTTTTGAAGAATCATAAGAATAGCTCAGACCTCTTAAAATTCACACATCTCATGAAGATAAGAAAGCCAAACTCTGATAAGACATTTCAGAAGATTCTGACAATCTTGCATGAAACCTTATGACCTGCATCATTTATCATAAATAGTTTAAGAAATGTTCTAGAGGAGGTGCAGTGATCTAGCTATTAAGATGCTGGGCTTGTTGACCAGAAGGTAGGCAGTTCAAGACCCAAGCTCCCCTTGACAGGGTGAGCTCCCGTTCTTGCCCCAGCCTTGCCAGTCTAACAATTTGAAAGCATGATAATGCAAGTAGATAAATAGATACCACTTTGGTGGGAAGATAACAGCATTCCATGCACTTCAATGTATAGTCATGTCAGCCACATGACCATGGTAGAGTCTTCGGACAACGCTGGCTCCCTCGGCTATGAAACAGAGATGACACCATTTCCTAGCCGAGAGTCGAACATACTGGACAGGGAAAATCTTTACCTTTTTTTTTTAACCTTCATATCATAGAGGCCTCCTTCTTGCAACATGTTGAGATTTTATTTCATCATGTGTTAGCTCATTAGCAATAATAATTGGTAGTCTATGAAAATAGTTTACACCTATCTCAGGTCAGGAATAAGACGAAGAATATTTGAAGAGGTGGGGAAAACATCTTAAGTGCTCTTTATGCCCTTTAATGCTAAAAGATTAATCTATGTTAACAGCAGATGTTATAAAAATAAAAACACTATTATTAAGTCATTTAATATATCCTGGAAACTCTAACGTGTGCCCAATAAATTGGCATTCACAAATTATCCAAAACCCAAAGAAATGTAACTTCATCTCTGTGTTGTTGCTTCTGTGTAACACAGCATATTAATACATTGCTTGTTGTGCAACAACTATGATGAATGTGCAGAGATCCATAGAATTATATTTATGAAAAAGTATAAAACAGCAACAAAAATTAAATATTACTTATTGATATGTTAGTGGAGAAAGAAAAGAGGAAATCCAAGTTTAAGTGTTCTAAAAGGATAGGATTTAAAACGGGAGCTCAGAAATAAACTGAATGGTTTGGAACAAACTGCTGTTTTCAAAATTCATATAATTGATTGTGGTAAAAGATCTGTAATAAAGACTAACAAAGGATCAAGAACTTCAGCCAGTCTGAATATAGATCATGTCTTGATGAAATATATGTTTTGCTGAGAATTGTTAGGAAGCATATTGTATTGTGGGCCTCCAGTGAATCAAATCATAACGGCAACCTCTCTGTGAAGTAACAATTACTTAATGCATGTCTAAATGTAAAGCTATAGCAACAGTCACCTGCCAGAGCTTTTGGAATCTGAACAAAATTGAGTCCTGAGAATGATAATATATTATGCTGCCACATTGTTAAAGTTAGAGAATCTCAGTCAGTTCAATACCCTGAGGTTATCCAAATAAGTGTCAATGAAGATTTGCAAATTAAAATAAGATAAACTTGTAATAGACAAAATATGATTGATGATGGTTTTACTTTAGTTCAGTGCTTTTTAAAGTGATTCAATTCTCCCCTTTCTCAGTTCCAAATACAGCCATTATGCCCACAAAAAAACCCAGACTCTGTTGTTTTACACAAACATCTTGGCCGCAGCAGTCCCAAACTGGAACCTTGACTCACAAACAAGCAATTACAAATTGTTCTATTATCCCCAGGATAAGCCCAAATTACCCCCTTGGTTCCTTGGAGATATAATTACCCCCAGTCTTTACTGGGATAGTTTAGACTTTGAAAACAAATCCGCCCCCTTAAAAAAAAAATCCCTATCAAATCCGTCTCCTTCCTTCAGACACATATATATACCTACCATTCTGGATCAGAATCATGGCCTTGTGCAGGAATACAAGGAAAGCAAGTGACATAGGCGTGTCAGTGCATCCAGTCAGCACAACCGGATGCCTCTGATTTTTTGCATCATTTTGCCCTTTACTACAGCTCTTATCTAGATCAAGGTCAACCAAATGGATCATCTCTAGTGCTGTTGCCCATCTTAAGCAGGAGAACTTAAAGAAAGATGTTGTGAAGATTCTTATGGGTAATAGAAATATATGTCAGGAGGTAGTCCTTCTGATAATCTGGCTCTAAATAGTTTAAGATTATAAAGATAAGTTTTACCCCACTCTTTTCTTGCATGGCTAGCTTTCTATCTACAAGGGAGAGATTTTTGAAGACAAAAATTTTCTTACCTTCCTTATTTCTTTCCATTCTTCTCTGTTATGCCTGCTTATCATTTTGATGCCCACCAAAATCCCTTTTTATTGTTTCCATTTCAGCACAAACTGTTACTTCCACAGATGGTGTGTGATAAACTGAAGAGTGTCAATTAAAACTAACTCAGAGAAACAGTGAATTCTTTGAGGGGGGGTGCCACTGAGAAGAAAAACAGCATGACATAAGATTGGCAGATGCCTCAACTACCAACAGCAACACACAATTTTGTATGGTTTTGTCATGCATCAAACTAAAGGTTCTGTGGTTAAACAATCACAGAGGATGTAAAAAGGACAAGATTTTTTAGGTAGTTATTAAATAAAAGGTAGAATTTTAAAGTCATTTAAAAGTCCTGTGTAGCACTCAAGTGTTAGTTTCCCTATGTAGTACAATGAATTTTCATATGATACCAAGATGAACTAATGAAAAGACTTTATATTTTGCTTTAATATTTTGTTTTCTATTGAAATTTAATAAAGTATATTTTAAAAAGAAAGACATAAGAAACTCATCTCTCTGAGTGAAGAAAGACATTATCATACTGGAAAAAAGCATTAAAGCAACCTTTTTTTCTAAGCCATATGCTGACAGCTGCAAGAACAAATTTAGCACAACATTGGAAATGAGAAATCTTGCTGACAATATCAGACTGGGAGACCAAAACTGGAGAGTCTGCAGCAATGGTAAATTTATCAGTATATATCCCTAGCAGGTGTTTAACCAAATTTAAACAGGGATGACTCCCTAAAATATAGTACACATTACACAGCAAGGCAGATATAGACCTTGGAATATGATTTCTAGTGAAAAGTTATGAAACCAGTTAAATATAACAAATGAAAGTGCTTAAAGAAAAACTAGCAATGATCCTTAATGTTCTTAATGTAAAGTATAAATATCTAGAATAGTTAGCAGTTGGAACTATAAACAGAAATGAAAGAGAGAATATGTCATTAGAAGGTTTTCACACAATACTTTTTATACATACTTAGTGGTTCTTTGTCTTCTGTCCTATTTTTTTCTTTTTCTGTTTGATTATCTTATTTTTTTTTTTCTGGATTGCTGTAATGGCTTCAGTTCTACACATACAGTTAATCATATATAAATAGACCAAATGGAATACTTCTATCTCTACAGGCCTGCATAACATATTATATTATACTATAGTATATACTTTACAGTACAATATAGAGAAGGCCTCCAAAGTTATATGCAATTTGATTATGTCATCCAAGGAAGAATAGTTGAATCATGTAAGTTTTGGGGCTTATTCTCTGGTTTGTCTGTTTCCTTAGAAGAGTTGTGTAATTTGCATAAATAGGCATTGATATGGATACCCATCTTGTAATCTTGTGATTACATCATAAGAGTCCAAAGTTAGTACAACAACACCAAGTTCCAAAGTGAGGAAGTGGATTATATGGTTGATATTAAGTAAATACCAGTTGGGTCCAGTGCCTGGAGAAACAATTATATCCAGACAATCAGTTCCCACCAATTCAACTGATCTAGTCAAATTCATGAAATATATTCATTATCTCCGGTCCTTATACATTTTCTTTGTACTTCAAGAACAATCACATCCTATACTCTGCCTTGATTGTTGAAGGAGTAAGAGCCTGAGTCTTCTGAATCCTAGTATAAATTAACTCATGTTTTGCACTCCTCCTCTATGGGGGGAAAAAATCAAAGCCATCCAGATAAGCATCCAAAGTAGCTGTTGGCTGAAGCCATCCCTAATCAACTAATTCACTGAACTCAATGATTGTAATTACAGAGAAAATCATTTGCACATATACCTGGAAATAAAGCTTGTCTAAATAAGCACTCACATTACTAAAAAACAGTAACAGATAATTCTGAAATGTCTTTTTGTTGGTTATTCTATATGATCCTTTAACTGTCAGTCCAGGAATATCTGTATGTACCAATACCTTTGTTTTTGTTCCCATCCCAGTGGTTGTTTATGTTCCTTCTTAAACCAAAGAAATGGCACCAGAATATTGCTAACTTTTCAGCAGCAGCATGATTTTAGGCTGAACCATCTAAACTGTCACTCTTCCTTAGGACAATACAACCCTTGGCAAGGAAATGAAGTGGTTCCCATAACAAGTCTCTTGTGTTTCCTGTATTTATAATAAAGTGTCACATGTTACCTGAGGGTTTCTGAGTTCTTTGTGAAAGAGAATGGGGACCAAAGTAAAAGAGATTACTATTCTCTTCCTCCTCTGCACCTCTGTTTGGAAGGGTTGGGGCTGGTAACTACTACATTAATATAGGCTACTTTTCAAGCCCCAGAAAGGCTGAAGGAGTGGTGCAATATTAAACCCCAGACATCTTTCCACTTGTCTGCATTTTCTGTGACAGCAGCAGTGTCTAATGGTGTGAAGTTCTGGCAGTTAAAATACTTTGATATGTACTTTCCCAGGCTTCAAAAGAACAGAGAGACAATGAACTCATGACTTGAGGGCGAGCAGAGTCAGCCAAGAGCTGGAGAATTTATCTTTTTTCTTTTTCTTTCAGTGTCTCTGGCAGGAGTTGAAATATTTTGGGAGGTGAAAGAGATATACAAGAAAGAAAGAGACTTGTTAGTGGTTTCTGAGGCTGCAGGTTTGATGCCTCCGGCAGTTTTCCAGTCTGCACAGGTTTGCTCTTACTGCCACAGGTAAATCAGGGGACAGCTCTTCATCAGAGTTGGAAGACTTATAAACTATAAAAGGTATGGAAAGAAGCAGGTAATTAAACAGATCCTTTAAAGCTCCCTGGATTTCTTGAAGTCTTCAGTCAATAGCTGGAGAATGCTATTCTTAGAAGGATATAGAATCTTGGCAAATGTTTATATGTATGGCAGGTACTGCACATCTTATTGATTTTTATCAATTCATGTTTTGCTTTCCCAAATAATTACCTATGATTTTCCAAAGCAGTTTTCATAATGTTGTTTACCCCACAAGGAATTATCAAGATACGTATGTATGTATATATGTTTTTCCAAGTCTTGGGATATTGGTGATTGTCAAAAACGTAGTTGGAGTTTTGTGGGGAGGGTGGAATTGAGTAAATATAAATTCCATTCACATAATTTCCATTGGAATTAAGCTTAGTTTATCCAGAGGAGACTTTCTTTTCAAGTTAAAATCCTTACCTTTATGACTTGTTTAAACTAAGTTTACAAACTTAAAAGTCTATTTTTCTCTGCATTAAGCCCAAGATGCCAAATGACATAAGTGCTGTGGGGATGATCAGAAGACAGAATGTCATTGTCACCTTAATGACAAATAAAGCAGCCAAACTCACTTTGGGCAATTAAAAGAGAGGGTAATTTTCATATTTTAAGGAAATGGGAATAGAATTATTATAGATGGTCATTATGTGCTTTTTTTGTTTTCTGAAATATGAAGCTTGTAGCACTTGCTTCAGTTGTCTTGATTTTTGAAAAAAAAAATTGCACTGTAGTACTATTTCAAATGGTGTTTCTAGCATAACTTCTGGTTGTGTTGAGACAATGATCCTGGGAATTTCCCATCAGCTTCAGCAAGTTTAGTTGGGAACATCTAGCATACCTGGAAGATAGCCAGGTGGGAAGAAAAAACTAGATGACAGTGTTTTCAAGCCTATGAATCTGTTATATAAGAAAATGATGCAGATCAATTCTTCTTCCTGTTCCATGTATAGAACATTTGCATTCTCTTCCTCACAACTAACTCTGTGAGCCATGTTAGACTAGATTTATGCTTGCTCCAAAGTTATCTAGTTAGAAGACACTTGTTTCAAGTTAGCTTCCTTTAGTGTCAGTTTTGGATATTTCTTGTAACCCCAAAAGTCATAAAACAAGAAGAGAATATGCAATATAGCAACAATGATTTGCCTAGAGGATTCTAATAGGTCAAAGGCAGTGTGATGGGGGAGTACATGACCTTTTGCTCAAGTTAAAGATACAAAAGGTACCTATCCTATAAAACTCCTAAATTCTGGAGAGAGTACTGATTATAACCTATTTATTCCAGGTTTGCCATTCTGTCTGCACACTGGACAATAAAGTGCTTGAAACAAGAATTGGTGTTGCTTCTTAGTCCTTACTCACTCCAGTGTAACCCTAATATGGTTATTCCTGCAACAGAATGCTAAATCTGGACAAGTAATTACCAGTAGTGTATTGATAAACTGGATGGAGTTTAAAAAAAGTACAACAAAAATAAACACATTAACAGTGAAATTGATTTAGGAGGGTTGATTAAAAGCTAAGAGGATATAATTTACTTTAATATAGTAACAAAGCATTAAAGCCTGCAATGCTAATTTTACTTTCTCCTGAGTAGGTTCTTGAAAATATATTTCTTTTAAATTAATATCATCATCATCATCATCATCATTTATCCAATGCAGGAAGAAGGCCCATTCAGCATGTTTCCATCCAATATGGTCCTGAGCTTTCTTTTGCCAATTGAGCCTGCAAAACAAGATTGATTCATCTTGTTTAGGTCTCTTTTGTGGACGTTTTTTATCAAATGGGATCCATTCTGTGACTGCCTTGGTCCACCTGCCCTCAGTTTTTCTTCTGTGTGACCACTGCATTTCCCATTTCTTTTACCCTCTTGATGATATTGTACACTTTAATCCATGGGCAGGTCTTTCTATCTTGTCTTGTAATGCCGAGCATGTCTCTCTCTCTATGCACCATTCTTAGCTTTTGTATTGATTGTGAGGTTACTGTCTATATTTCACCGGCATATGTTGGAGCAGGTAGCACACACTGATCAAAAACTTTTCTCTTTGGGTATAGGGACAGGTTGTTCTTGAAAATTATACTTAGCTTGCCAAATGCCTGCCAACCACATTTTACAGACCTTATATATATTATATAATTAATATATTAAAGCCAAGTTGCATGTATGCTTTTAAAGGAAAAGAAATAAGAAAAGAAATGGCATTTTATTACATCTACTTTGTAATGACTTTAAAAATGGGATATGGAACTAAAACCTTACATGGGTGAATAAAATTAAATACTTTTTTACTGTGTTTTGCACTATAAGTTGGTGATGATAATGATTATAATATTGAACATAGAAATATGTGGAGAAAAAAAACAACAAAATAATTTCCTGCCCTGATAAGTTTACAGCCTAATTTTATTCCATTTATACAAGTGTAAGGAAAAGCCAGGCATAAGAATATTGTCTGATCACATTATCCTATCAAAGGAAATATACCTACATGCATACAAATGCAACATTAATATTTCTTCACTGCAATCATATTTAAGTGTGAGACTTGTTACTTTTGTTTTATTTTTTAGTGCCTGCAACTCAGTCTTCGTTCCTGGCAACTCCCTGAACAGGTCTCAGAATTTTCTTGGCCAGAATTTGCCTCCTTCCTAGGGCTGAGAAAGAGGAACTGGACCAAGGTCACCCAGCTAGCTTCAAGCCTAAAACGGGACTAGAACGCCTGATTTCCCAGTTACAATCCCTTAATCATGAAACTCAAAACAGCTTTGACCAACCAAGTCTTACAATGAATAAAGATGATTGCCTCCTGTGCTGCCAAACCACTGCTGTACAAAGAGTAGATGGACATTATTTGACCTAGTAAAATGAACATTATTTGACCCTAAATTGTGAATAGAAAGAATAATAGGTTTTTGGAAGAAAAACTGGATCTCTGAGCAACAGAAATTGTTCTCAGCTGCTACATCAGTGCTGAAATAACAGTCTTTACTAAAAGGGATATAATGCTACCATTCATAAATAAGGTATTCTCCACCTTAAAAGTTAAACCACTGAAAAGATCATAAAAATCTGCATGGAAGTAATATTCCAGGGAATAATAGAAATAGGGTGAAATTTATGGGGATGTGAATCTGGGAGAGTTTCTTTTTTTCTCCTTGACAACAGCAGCTCCTAAAATGCCACAATTACAAGGAGAGAGGAGCAAGGAGAGATTTCGGTTGTTGATGAAATCCCTCTTTTGTACTATAGTAACAACAATGCAAAAATGCAAACAGAGACTGGACAACAAGAAACATCATTTGAAAATGGCTTTGAAAATAACTACTTTAAAAGATCTGCTGCAGCCTTTCTCTCTGATCACTTGTTTTTCTGGGCTGCCAGACTTGTTTCCATGGCTCATTGTCAAGGTTAGCCTATTCTGGGCTTATTGTCAAGGTTAGCCTCTTCTCGGAAATATGTATTATGTTTCACTTATACTAAATAAACAAAAAGTCTATTGCATATAGAATATATTACAATATAGATAAATTTGTTCTTTGGGCACCAAACACACTGTCCTTATGTAAGTAAAGACAAGATACATACAAACAGCATAAGGGAATATTTCGAAGGGTTGAAAAATTATGGGGGATGGTAGGCAGAATGAAGAAGGGAAGAAAAAGCTGAAGAAATATAGATGGACTAATGACCAAGTCCGTGATAGAGGCTAATGACATCTACATTAAAAGTGAGACAAAAAACACAAGGAACAATAAGGATAAAATTTATAGATTTCATAAAAGTCAAACATTTCTTTAAAAAGTAATCAAAGCAAATCAGGTGTAAGAAAAGACCAACAGAATACATTTGAGCTGCTATTTCATTTTCTCTTTTTTCCTCCAAGTAAATTTTATAAGTAGCAGGAAAGTAAGATATAAACCAGTAGAACAGCATTCCTCCCAGTGTTCTGACAACAGAGTTTGTTGAATGATAAAACTCATGGGTTAGTTATTCATATCAAAATCAGAATACCCATCATACCCATTAAATATCACACACACACACACACACACACACACACAAACTTACTTTTGTCTATATAGGGAAGGAAAGCTAAAGCTTAAAACAGAATCTGAGGCTGCAGAGCAAAATCTCCAAGTAGTCTTTGAATTTGATACTTGACTTAAATAAATTTGAATATTCAATTCAAAAATTTAATTTGAAGAACTGATTCAATTGATTTTCTTGTTCAAATTAAGTCACTGCTTGCTTTTTAAAAAAAGTTTGTGTTGTCTCTCCCCCTTGGAGAGGATAAATGTGAACATGCCACATTTTTTTAATACAGGGTACAAGTGCTTCTATGATGGTGATTGTGACTGAACTGGGGCCACACATATTCGCAAGAACAAGAATAGGTGGCTCAGTGCCAATCTCTTACGTCAGAAATTCTTAAACTTTCTTAATTTACAGTTCTCTTAGTATCTCAGTAATTTTTTCATGGCACTCCTAAAAGTTTCGAAACTATGCATAGTAAAACAGTATCCAATAATGTTGCTGTTTGATAACCATACTCCTATGTACAGGAGTGAGTCTTAAAAATTCAGACTGCCATTTCCCAACTTTTAATGATCTTAAAAGTCTGGTTTGAATTGGAAGAAACCATTTTAGTCATTTAAATAACCCAAATAAGAGACTACCCATTTCCATGCCATTTTTTCATTGTGGAATTGTTATCTTCTTAAGAAATTTATTCTAATATTTAGCTAAATTCTATATTTTAGTGACTTAAAACCATTAGGTTTAATAATGGTTTCAAAATCTTAGCTCTGATCCATATGATGCCCTCCTAGTATAAAAAGTGTTACTCTAGTCTCATGTGTTTATTTTCCTTCCTTCCTTCCTTCCTTCCTTCCTTCCTTCCTTCCTTCCTTCCTTCCTTCCTTCCTTCAATTTTATATTTACAGTATATTCTTAACTATCTTCAACTTCCATCTCAATATCTGTTGCAGTTAGTCCTATTTTTGGTTTCTTGAAATGAAGTATTCCAAATGGGATACAGTATACCAAATATTGAACAGGACGGAAATTGATAGACATAAGTGATTTATTGATTTAGATTCCATCTTTCCACAGTAGTCAAATTCTTCCTTCTTTTGGCTGGGAGGTTGCCTTGAAAGAAAGTCCAAAATCACAAGTCCAAAATCACCCAGTCATTTTTATGGTGAAGTGAGGACCATCTCTATTCCTAAGTCAAACACTTAACTATTACACTAAATCCACAGAGCTAATACATTTCTTGTTGATTTCAAAATAAATACAATACAATACAAAGCATCACTGGGCCATATAATAAATTGGAGAGGCCATAAAACAGGGAGAGGGGGTTGTTATATAAAGAAACATATTAACAGAAGTGGCTGCAATCTGCATATTAATAAGGAACTTCACCTCACAAAGATAAAACAATTTTTCTTAGTGAGGCATGTGCTCCCCATCAATAAAGTTTTGAGATTGGCTTGATCAGATTTGATCAGCCTCTTCACTTCAACAAAAGGACATGCAAACTATCCCCTTTTGTTAATTTGCCAAAGGTAAGGTAGTTGCTTCAACAGAGTGGCTTCTTTACCTTGATTATATTCTCCATTATTCTCTTTCCAAACAATCCAGTAAAAACAGCTTTCACTCAACATTTGAAAGGAAATTTGTATTACAAAGCAATTATGGCTGTCCCTCCAGTTGTCCTTGAACCACTCTCAGTATCCCTATCTCAAGTGCTGTTGCACTGCCCAATGTTAATGTACAAGAGGCTGGCCAGTCAAGTTGATTTGGAGGATAGACTGAAAAAGAGCACTACTTGGCTTTTGCAGCAAATGTCTTGGATCCATCTGGTAAAAGCCACTCAAGTGAATGCATAGGCACAGCTGCAAATGGATTTCATCCATCGTAAATGGGATATTTAAAATTTTTAAAAAGCAGTGCTCCTTTCATTTTAAAATGTCTACAGACCTCCCATCCCTCTCTTTGGTCTGGACAACTGTTTCCTTTCCTCCTTGTCCCTAAGCCTGTTATACTGCAGCATTCTTTTCTCCTGTTCCCTTTCAACTTGACATCTTGCAGAAACATTTACTGTATATCTCTTGCATTTCCTTCCCATTTCAAAGCAGAGATTTCAGCTGCTCCTATTTTTATGGATAGACCTGTCATTGGTACATAAAAGATGTGATGACAAGTAAATGCCTGCTATAGTATAACCTAAGAGGTGAGGATCACTTGTTTTATTTAATGTTTCTACTTCATTTCATGGAGTGTTTTAAATTTACTCTTATGCTACCTGACTACCTAACATAATAAAATTACAGTGTCTGGTTTCTTAATCATATCCAAACTCTCTCCCTCTTTCCCTTTCTTTTGAATATCTGTTTTTTGTTTTGTTTACTTCCATATATTAAGATGCTAATAAGCAAAGGGCATCTTTTAAGAGTTTCAGCACTATTTGTTACGCTGCAATAAAAATAGATGTGATAAATAAAAATAATTACTATTTATTAACTATATTATTACTATGAAAGCAGTTGAATGCAACTGCCCAGCACTACTATTACCTGTTTCCTCAATTTAAATTCAGAAGTTATTTCCTGAACCTCAGCTTAAGGGAATCAGGAAAGGCACAAAACAAACCCATATTTCTATATACATACATGTGAAATGCCAGTTCCATTGACTAGGGCATCACAACAGGTTGCACATTCAAAAGCTATTCTATTTTCAACAGGTGCAAGAAATACATAAATTACATACATAATAAACATTATTGTTTGATTTCAATAATGCCATGGGAATCTTTACATTATGACATCATCATCTATCATTTATGATGAATGTTTTTCCAGTTCACATAAAACATAAGTTTCAAACCCGTCTTCTATCAGGATTTCCAGTCAATGATGAACTTTTGGAACTATAATTCTGTGAAGGAATTAGAAATGTCTAGCACAAAAATTCAGCCTAACTAAGTAATCAAAATTAGCCAATCTTGTCTGATTTCTAAAAACTAACCATTTCAAAACAGAAAACATTTAGTCCTATTTAAATTAATTGGGAATTTTTAAAGAAAAACAATATATTTTTATCTTATTACCAAAACACCTACATGGATATATCCTTGAAGTCAAAATTGACTTAGAGTAGAGGTCCCCAACCTATGGTCTGTGGTCCGGTACTGGGCCATGGCCTGTTGGCCACTGGGCCCTGGGTATAGCTGGCGAGGGCCCCCGCCCCACTTGTAATAGCACCACTGCGCAGGACTAGCAGCCCCATTTGGGCATGCATAGGGACACTTCCACCACCGCCAGTGTCACGCAGGCACCAACAGCCATTTGTACATGTGGGTGGGTGTGGCCCATTTGCGCTTGGTGCTCCCTTTCCTTCCGGGCTGCCCAGCTGGAAAGATTGGGGAGCTCTTACTTAGAGACTTTCCAATAAAAAATACATAATGTTAACATAATTAAAGCAACAGTTTTCAAAGGTTCCTTGAGGAATTATAGAATCATAGGGCTGGAAGGGACCTAGTCCAATCCCCTGCCCAAGATGGGAGTCCTTATACCATCCCGGACAAATCATTGTCCAATTTTTTTTTGAAACCCTACAGTGATGGAGCACCCACAAATCCAGGCGGCAAACTGTACTATTAATTAATCATTCTCACTGTCAGAAAGTGTGATAACAACTGTTTTCAATCTTTTTTAAAAGCAAGACTATCAAAATCCAGTTTAAACTATTTTGGGAAAGACCATTAAATATAAGTTGGCAGAAGTTAAGGTCAATTAAATATATATTGGCAGAAATCACAGTTTCTCTACTGCTTTTCTACTGCTCTATCACTAACCAGAAAAGACTATGTATTAAGATAATAGTTAAAATGACTATAGATTGACAAAGATGAAGTCCTTATTTACAATATTTGTGAGGAAGTTTCAAAGTTGTTGGGCTTTTTTTTAAAAAAAAAAGATCCTACAGTGACACAGCAGTCTAACCATATGGTGTCATTATTCAGGCAACACAAATTTGACACTTGGTGAATTTATTATATTTTGCTTTGCTTCTGGTGCCTGAAAGGCTTTGTAACGATCCTTTCATAAGGCCTGTCACAGATGTTGATGTATTTTCCCTCCTTTCCAGTCCAGGTTTTATTGTGGAAACTGATACAACTTCACTATAGAATTTCTAGATGAATTATTCACGCATTGCAAGCTTTCTGCAGAAAAAAGGCTTGGAAGAAATCCATCTCCAATTCAAGAAATAGTTCCTTTACATTTCTTGAACAACAGAAATTTCCAGCATTTTCTGTTAACATGTTTGTCATCCAAATATTTTGGGCAACATATTTATACATGATAGCTAGTTGATAGCTAGCCATTCAGACACATAAGAAGACTGATATTCACCTTAAAGCACTATTAAGGTGCTCTGAATAGAATAGAATAGAATAGAATAGAATAGAATAGAATAGAATAGAATAGAATAGAATAGAATAGAATAGAATAGAATAGCTGGAAGGGACCTTGGAGGTCTTCTAGTCCAGCCCCCTGCTCAAGCAGGAGAACCTATACAAGTGACTGTCTAGCCTCTTTTTAAAAATCTCCAGTAAGGGAGCGCCCACAATTTCTAGGGGCAAGCTATTCCACTAATTAATTGTCCTCACTGTCAGGAAGTTTCTCCTTAGTTCCAGGTTGCTTTTCTCTTTGATCAGTTTCCAGCCATTGCTTCTTGTCCTGCCCTCTGGTGCTTTGGTGAAGCTGAATGCATGGTAGCTTTGCTAAGGAGCCAGCAAGTTCATCTGCCCTATGGATACCATGCAGTTAATAAGTACATAATGCCTTGGAGAAAGATATGTAGGGGACATTCCCAGTATTAGCGTTTCTCTGCAAAACTCTAAACAAGTCAGGAACATATTAGATAATTGTCATGTTATGATATCAATTGGGACCAAGATTGCCATTGCTAAGTAATGCGATCATAAAACACAATGTCTCTGTTGCCATCATAATCTCCAAACACATGGATTCCTAATCAGAAAAAAAGAGGTAAGGAGCATGGGGGGTGCCAGAGAGGCAGTGATGGGATTCAGCCAGTTCGCACCACTTCGGCAGAACCGGTAGCTAATTTTTTGTTGCCCAGGCCCAGAATGGACTTGCAGAAGTGGCATCCACACAG